CTGCGTTGCTGTTTACATGCATGAAAACTGTGTTTGAGAACGAGTCTGATTGCAGCTTGGACTATTGCACGGAATATGAGTGTGAGCGATATACATAAAACCAAGTTGCGAAATCACACAGCTGACCAAGTAGTCATGTCCCCAGCAGAGAGTACAAATGCACCGAGAAAACCATCCATATAGAGCAATACAATGAAGTAATGAGCCAATGTTCAAGCCCGTAGGCCACACCAACACAGTATCCAAAGTCGCTCTGCTCTGTCTGGCGCTCAGCGCCTAGCCTACTCTACCTGGCTATCCTACCTATAGCTGGTTCACGCAACAGGATCACTTCGACTCACGAAGACCAATGTACATGACTGCCAACACCATCGCCGACCTCTCTTCATGTACCAGGTACGTATCAGACCTTGATTACCCCACACAGCGCCTCCTTCCCTGAAGACCACCTGATCATCCGCTGTACCCCCCCTGGCGCCCATCAGCCCGGCTATGGCCGCCAGCGCCCCGCTGCCCTGCAGCGCCCCACAACACCTCTTGCGCCCCGTCAGTGCCCTTGGCAGCAGTGCAGCATCAAGCAAAAGCGCAGCAGCACTTCCGCAATGCCAGCGCTGGCCAGAATGCCTGGCCTGGGCTGCCTCCTTCCTTTTGTGGAAGTGGCAGCCTCCTGGATGCTGCGTGTGGCCTGGCTGGAAGCTTCCAGTAGCTTCCGGTTGGGTCCCAGACCCTGCTCCCAGGCCCAAGACTACAGTTGAGGGCCTGGGCCCTTTGCAGTTAGGCACGCTCTCCGGACTTGGGCTGTTTGCTGCATCTGTGCAGGGCTTCCCGGCAGGTGCGTTGGCACTACTGCTTTTGCAAAGGCCGAAGGCCTGCTTCCCAATGTATCGGCCCTGCTTTGTGTATGATGCAGCAATGCGAGGCTCACGCGTCTTCCCAACCAACTGGCGTGCTGCGAGAGCCTGAATACCCACATATGAAAATGCCGAATTTTGCCTTTGACGAATATTCAGGCCCGCCTTCACTTAGGGCGGGCACTTGGCTTGCTGGGGGGCTTAGCCCAGAACAATGTGCTGTCTGATAGGGCGCCCCCCCCTTGAGGGCTTGTTCCTCGCACTATGTTGTCCATGGGAGGTATCATGTGTTTAGCTCATCTTGCACCTTCTATTCACTATCGGTAACTCAGAAATACTTGGGCTTAGAGGGTGGTCCCCCATGAAGATTTTGAGCGGTTCTGCTTGGACTATGTTGTCCATGGGAGGTATCATGTGTTTAGCTCATCTTGCACCTTCTTTTCACCTTTACCTCACAGTACTTGTACACTATCGGGGCTTAGAGGTTGGTCCCCCACAGAATTCAAACACAGCGCGCATTACCAAAGGTGGATTTAAAACAGTAGTTATGCCACAAAATTCTCACAATCTATGTGGAAAGGTCCATTTGTAGATGCTTGTGTGTTGAAAAAGCATTCGCGTGTGCCTCGCCGGAGTTGGAAAATTTGGTCACGTAGCCCGGTTGGACTGATTACAGAAGAGACCTCTTGGATGTCTGTGGACACAATAGCGAATCACCCTGGGCCAAAGAGGGCTTTGTAAGTATGCAGATGGGAGTGCTGTTCAGTCTGCTATTCAGTGTCCTCTTTTTTTTTTTTTTTTTTTTTTTTTCCTACACAGCGTACAATTTGTATTATCACGCCACCGATTTACTAAATATAACGCCCGGGCATTATAAACGAATATAATGACTGCCGGCCCGTGCCGGGCGCTATATTCGTATACAGTGCCCGGGCATTATTTTCAGGTGAAGACGATAGCAGCTTCTGATGCTGCTGCATTCTACATCCTGTGAAGTGGCAAACAGGTCAGCAGAGGTGGAAGGGGCAACAGCAAGCACGGCAAGCAGAGAAGTCATGTAACTATCTGATTGCAAAACCTTTTTTCTTTAATATTTGGACCATTTCTTTATTGATGGGTGCCATCATTCCGAGAGGGGGCATGCTAATCTTCTCTGTATTTCGTTCCTCCAATTTTAACAGACGCCTCGAAGCAAATCCGACCCCATAGCCTGATTCTGTGACGTGGCCAATTCATGCAACTACAACAGCTTACTGTAAAGTTAAGTGTAACTGACTGATCCTATCAGGATTTGAACACAGGATCATCTCTTTATTAACAGTCAATCAGTACATGTGAGTGCCATTCAGCTGATTCCAAAACCTGCTTCTGTGACGTGGCCAACTCATGCAACATAGCCATCAACAGAGACATAGCTTACCATAACGTCACTGCAACTGTCTGACTCTTCCAGGAGTTGAATTCAGGATCAGTGTGTGTGTGTGTGTGTGTGTGTGTGTGTGTGTGTGTGTGTGTGTGTGTGTGTGTGCCATTCAGCGACAGAGACCTAAGACTTACCGGATGTGCCAAGCAACTCATGGCGCACACACACCTCCACCCCCACCTCTAGCATGAGCATCAGCGCAAACGCTGCCAGGAGATGCGATAAAAAGTGTGTAATTCCAAGAGCAATCCTCCTCTTCCGTTCCAGTTTCGTGGGAACGAAGTAGATCGCCAATCCGAGGAAGACTAGCGTGCCGACGATTGACACGTACGACTCCTCAAGCAAAAACCGAACTGCGCGCAACTCCGTTCGAAAAAACTCCCGTGCACGGCCCCGCAGTCGCTCCTGATTGAAAATGGGGTCAAGATCACACTGTTGAAATGGGGGCAATGACGCAAAACACACACAAAAAGAGGGGTAAAAGAAAGAAGAGGGTCAAACTCAGCACAAGGCTCTGCTAGAACACTGCCACCACCAGGCCATCACAACCGGTTAACGGGGACACCACTTTCCGCTAGAACCTTGGTTAATGGGTTCAAAACTGAAATTAGGGTTGTTGGGGGGTCAAATTTTATGTTTTTTATTTTTTATTTTTTTGCCTCTTTTTTTTTGGTTCAAGGTTGCTGGCTTTTGCTTCTTTTTTTCTTTTTCTTTTCGGTCTTTTTGTTTGCAAATTGCAATTAGTTAGTGTGATGTCCACTCTATGAATTGGTGGCAAGTTTGGTCGAAAGGACCCTTGGGTTTTCTTACAAGTGGCATAACAAATCGTCTGAAAATTTAGGCCTCCATTAACCTGCTCTCCACGCCATGGAAAACAAATATATCACAATACCATCCACCATTGGACCACCACCCCCCCCCCCCCAAAAAAAAAGGGAGGAAAGTGCACTGAATACGACCCGCACAACTGCAGTCTGAGAAGGTGAGACTCTGCATTTTTCCTTGTAGGCACTGTGCAGTGAACAGTGAGAAATTATGTGAGAATGGAAAGAAGTCACCGTCTTTCGGTCTGTTTTGCTGAGATTTTCGTATATGTGCACTCTTGACTTGCCTGTGCACGATTGTATACCTAAACGACGAGTCGCGAGTCCAGCTCTGTTTCTGTGCTGTGTTTCTGCATCTTGGGTAGAAAAAGAATAGCAAACAGGTGCAGTCACAGGGACAAAGTGAAAATCGGCCGCTGAACCAACTCGCCTAGCTCAGTTGGTACACCTACGAACTGTTGAAATGCAGAGCTGAGTTTGAATTCCAATGGAATCTGATGCGTGAAAATAACTCAGAATTTACCTCCATCGGGCTGGTCAGTTCAAAGGTGATGATATCTCAACAACATCGCCCTTTGAAAAAAAAAAAAAAAACTTCAAAAAGTAAGAATAAAAAAAGAAAACGGCAGCAGGAGGATGTACACGAGTTGTACAATGACCAGGGGTAAATGTGGAAATTGACAGAGACTCGGTAGGGTCTTCCAAGAAAGTCCAGTAGGTGATACTGGGTGATTCTAGATATGGCTTGTCTGAAGGGGGTACTGACAGTCCGCAATGATATTCCCAGCAAGAGACAGAGCCCGGTAGGCCTAGACAAGGTACTGCACATGCCTCAGAAGCAGAGCACTTGGCGGCAGAACTCATGCGGGCAGCCGGTATGTCACACAAGGGTGTGGTGCATTCATTCATTGAACCAGCAGTCGTGCTGCTGCTCCACTGCGAGGGTGATGTGCAGAGCAGGACCCATCGGCCCGCCATACAAGAGGCTCCAATGCTGTTTGTCCCAAATAAGGATGTGATTTGAGATAGCCATGCTCGGAACACACGAACACACGTCTTGCATTGTGCCACACTCACATGAGACACAGGAGCTAACGGAGTCCAAAAGCGTCTCGATAGTCAACTCGAAAACTGGGTTGTCTTCTTCGTAATTGGCGGCTATGGCCGCCCCACTCGACATGCAGGTAAGTCTCTCTCTTCTTCCTCTCTCATGCCTCTCTCTATCCACCAAGGCTGCGCTCACTCTCACGGTCCTCACTCGTCTCTCAGAATGTCTTCCTCTCTCTCTCTCTCTCTCTCTCTCTCTCTCTCTCTCTCTCTCTCTCTCTCTCTCTCTCTCTCTCTCTCTCTCT